AAAAAAAAAAAAAAAAAACATGAAAAGTGCCGGGGGACACAGCCTCGGCTAATTCCTGCGCGCAATGTAAATCAGGGTCGGCAAAAACAGGCTCGGAGGTACTGGTGGAAAAAGAAGAAAAGAAAAGAAAAAAAAGAAAGAAAGGAACACCAGTCTCTTCAGCGTCAGCACACTTGCCCCTATTCTTCGCATCTGGTCGTCCATTGCCCCGATCTACGGTCAGAAATGAAAAATGCGAGCAAGTGGGACCTTCCGCGTTGGTTGCTGTTGAAAGAAAGGAAGGGAGAAGGGGAACAAAAGCCACGAGAACGGCGGGCTCAGACTGGGATTGCTGCGGACGTACATGGCCACAGGGGACGTCCACGTTCCTCGGAGAAAGTGCTACCGTAGTGTGAGCACGACTAGCGGGCAAGCGCGTTCTGCCGCCATCCTAACCAGTACGCCAACAAATTGAACGCATGAGGACCGTGTGGCTGTCCAGATGCATGCGAAATCTTGGCGGTTGGCGAGTGGTGCAACTAGGCCCTCATCCCCGAGTTTATCCGTCGGACTTCGCGATTGCACAATTTTATCGGTTCGACGGAAAAAAAAGGCAATTATCTATTTTTTATTGTCCTTTTTGTCCTTTTCTGCCCTGGGGCGTGGTCCGACTAGCAAAGAGGATGGGATCGAATGCCTGAATCTGGACGTGTTTAAGGAGATGTGCAGGAAATCGAGATTAAACTGCTTTTCTGCATCTCTGCTTAAAACACGTCCAGATTCAGGAGCTCTATCCTATCCTTTTTGCTATCGCTAGTGGGACGTCGGCTCTGGCGGTGTCTCCGCGACGACTTGCCGGCGGCAGGGTGGTCGAGAGGGGCAGCGCGTAGCGTGGGTGTCCGCGGGCCACAGGGAGGGAGCGAGGGAGAGAGAGGGAGGAGAGAAGAAGGTACACAGGGAGAGCGAGAGCGAGAGGGGGAGGAGGAGAGAGGAGAGAGGAGAGAGGTTATTCGGGGCAGAAGGAGCAGGAGGAGCAGGAGGACGACAACCACATCGAGGAGAGAGGCGACGACGACGAAGAAGAAGGTCTTCAAGGAACACCAGCGATGGCCGCCCAAGCTCTTGCAGCACTACGCCTCCCCGCCTTGGCGGCGGGGTTGACTCCTCAGCGTGTTTCCTCTTCGTCTTCATCCTCCTCTTCTCCCAACACACCAGAACCATCTCTGCCATCCTCCTCCTCCTCTTCTTCTTCTTCTTCTCCTCTGTTCTCTTCGTCCTCTCCGGCCGCCATAGCCGGCAAGCTTCTATCTCGAGGAACTACACCATCATTCGCATTCCGCTCGTCGTCGAATGAAGGAGACCCATCGACAGCCTCCATGGAGGCTTTCCAGGTGGCGCTTAATCCCACCCTTCCGTATGCTGACATGCTGAACTTTCGCGGAACTTTCAATGCTCAAATCGTCGTTGGGGAGAATGAATCCGTGGAGTCAGTGGTGCGGAGGTTCCGCAGGGCAGTGATGCAAGCTGGAGTGATCGCAGAATGTCGACGGCGGAGATTTCACGAGACGCCTCAGGATGTAAGGAAGAGGAAGGAGCAGAGTTCTAGGAGGCGGAGGACTAGGGGCAAGGGGAAGAGACCGGGAGGCGGAAGGCCCGGGGTAGGAATGGGAGATTCGGCAGAGAAGGTGCAGGAGGCCGGATGGGGTTTCGAGATAACAGACGAGGGAGAGCGTTGGGAGACCGATGAGCTCTAGAGAGAGAGAGAGAGAGAGAGAGAGAGAGAGAGAGAGAGAGAGAGAGAGAGGACGAGAAAGCGCTTCTGGGAGGAAGAAGATGGCGGTGTGAGAGAGGATATGGGGAAGATAAAGGAGAGGGAGACTGACTGAACGTTGGAGATAAGGGATTAGGGAGAGAAAGTTCGTGCAGAGTTTGAGAGGGGAAGTTGGTTGGTGATACACACACATACACAGATACACACACACACATACACACACACACACACACACACACACAGAGAGAGAGAGAGAGAGAGGTACTTGCCTCGTGAGGGAGAGTTTTGCAACTGAGAGAAGCAGAACGCTGCTTGCTGTGCGGAAACGTTTTAAGTCCTCCTTACAGTGATACCCTTCTTCGCTTTTTATCAAACGCCATGAGGCTGGAAAGGGAAAAAAAAAAAAAAAAAAAAGAGGTTTCGAGTTGTTCTTCATTCATTTGTCAGTTTGCAGTTTGCCCTGCTTTGGACTACAGCGCCTACGAATTTGAATGGCTTTTGAGTTCGCTTGCTTCTTGCCCTCAACTCTCTCTCTCTCTCTCTCTCTCTCTCTCTCTCTCTCTCTCTCTCTCTCTCTCTCTCTCTCTCTCTCTCCACATTCATTCCTTTCCTTTCCGTTTTACTCCACTTGCGCTGACCTCGTCTTTCTTCCTCCCTCTCTCTCTCTCTCTCTCTCTCTCTCTCTCTCTCTCTCTCTCTCTCTCTCTCTCTCTCTCTCTCTGTGTTCTACTCCCCTCCCCTCTCCTCTCAACTTTCCCTACCTCCTCTTCTCTCTCCCCCTACTCCTCCGCTTCTTCTCATCCCCTACGGCAGTGTTTTTTCCTTCCCTCCCCGACTTTTCTGTTGCCCTGCCCGAGTTTTCCTTCTCTCTTATCTCGCCTTCTTTTTTCCTCCCCCTTCTCTCTCCTCCGCTTCCCTAACCCTGTGAACTCTCTCCTCCCCTGTTTACTTGCCCTCCCCAAGCCTTTTTTTTTTTTTTTTTTTTTTTTTTTTTTTTTTTTTTTTTTTTTTTTTTTTTTTTTTTTTTTTTTTTTTTAAAGAAGCCTTTTTCTCCCTCTCTTACTGACTTCGTTTCTTCGTCCGCTCTTCCCATCTCCCCCTCCCCCCGCCTCCCGGCCCCTCTTCCCTACCCCCTCCTTCTCTTCCCTTCCTCTCTTCCTTTCTCTCTCCTCCTTCTCCTCCCTACTTCTCTCCTTTTCCTCATCTCTCGCTCTCTCTCCCCATCTCTCACTTTCTCTCTCCCTCTCCCGTCTCTCCCCTCCTCTTGCCTTCTCTCGCCTCCTTTTGCCTTCTCTCCCCTTCTTTTCTCTACAGTCTTCCCCCCAATACAACGTACGGTCATTCTTGCTGTATCTAGACTGAAAGATACCTTCAAATACAGCTATAATGACCGTGCGTTGTATTCGGGGAAAGACTGTAGCCTTTGTCTCTCCCCTTCTCTCCTCTTCTTCCCTTTCTCTTCCCTTCCCGTCATTCCTCTTCGATTGTGCTGCTGGTCATCCTGCCGCCCTCCTCTTCCCTCTCCCTCCTTCCCATCTCTCTCTCCCTGTCACCTTCCTGCTCCCTCACTTCACACTCTCCTACTCTCAATTTCTGTTCTTCCTCCGTACCCTCTTACTCTTTATTTCTGTCCCCACCTTTCACTGCCTCTCCTTCTCTCCATCACGTGATGCTGAAGCTATTAACTGTGGCTCTCTGTTTTTGCCCTTTTTTTTTTTTTTTTTTCCTAATTGTAGTGCCTCTGATTTCCCAGAACAGGAAAGAAACAGAAATGATTATTAAAAAAAAAAAAAAAGGAACGGAAATGCCGCGAGAATGGGGATGGTAGGGGAGGCATGCTCCTTCCATCCTTTTTTTTTTTTGGTCTTTTTGGTCGTTTTTTATTCTCATTGTTCTTTCAAAGAGCGTATTAAAAAAAAAAAAGGAGCGTCTTATCAATCGCGATGCTTATGTCGGGATCACTCGGTATGTGGTCACGCTTTATTTCTTTCTTTCTTTTTTTTTTTTCTTTTTTTTTTTTTAATTTCTTTCTTTTTCCTTCCTCGTGCGACTGTTCTCGGGCCTTTTCTTTTCCTTCCTCCACCTCTCCTTCCCTTCCCTGTCACTTCTCTCTACCTCCTCCTCCCCAGTTCTCCACCCCCTCTTTCGCCCAG